TGAGCCTGGAGGAGGTGATGCTTGAATATTAACCAGCTTTCTTGGACCCCTCTTCCTTCTAGGGCCTACCCCAGGAGATTCCCCTACGTAGGTTCCTGAAGAGGCCAAAGTCAGCTCTCCTCAAGTCCAGCGTTGCAATCCTACTTATTGCCCTGCTCCCTCCTCGTAGGATCCTGAACTCCACCATCTCATGGTCACTGCAGCCAAGGCTGCCCCCAGCCTTCACCTCTCCAACTAGACCTTCTTTGTTTGTTAGTACAAGGTCTAGCATTGCGTCTTGGAGATGCATCGTTGGCGTCTCCACCACCTGAGTCAAGAAATTATCATCAATCCTCTGCAGGAACCTCTTTGACTGTTTGTGCCTAGCTGTGCTGTCTTCCCAGCAGATGTCAGGGTGGTTGAAGTCTCCCATGAGAACTAGGGCCTGTGATCGTGAGGCTGCTTCCAGCTGTCGGTAGAAGGCCTCATCGATGACTTCCTCCGGGCCACGTGGCCTGTAGTAAACCCCCACCACCGTGTCACCCATGTTACCCTGCCCTTTAATCCTTACCCATAGGCTCTCAACTTGCTCTTCACCAACCCCGAGGCAGAGCTCCATGCAGTCCAGCTGCTCCCTCACATAAAGAGCAACTCCACCACCTCGCCTTCCTGGCCTGTCTTCCCTAAAAAGCACCTAGCCATCCATGACAGCATCCCAGTCATGTGAACTATCCCACCATGTCTCTGTCACTGCAATGAGATCATGGCCCTGCGACCGCACACAGATCTCTAACTCTTCCTGCTTATTCCCCATGCTGCGTGCATTGCTATACAGGCATTTCAGAGAGCCAGTCAATCATGCATGATGCGTAGTATTACTTCAGCTCTTGAAAAACAGAGGAACCCTTAACTGTAAATATCAGTTAAACTCTGTTTATCCTCGACTGGAAAACCAACTGGTTTGTAATCTACTATGTGCCCAAAATACTAATACTGAAAACCAGTCAGTCTCCAGGAAAACAGTATAAACAGTTTGGATAAGGAATTTATCAACCTCAAAAGCATTAAGAAAAGTCAATTTGTCCTGTTCAATGAGAATGCAGCCTGCAGAACTTTCCTTGGTTTTACCTTCATATACCATTTCCTGAGGCATACAGAGAAGGAAAGAAATGTCATCCTTTTGCGTAGATATAAAAGTATCATTTTAAATTTGTAGCAGCACATTTATCTGTTTTCTGATTTAAGTTTCTCCTCTGAAACAGAGCTCAGCCTCATTATATACTTCTTCCCCATCCCTCTTTGGGATGTAACACAACATAAACATTATGTTTTCACTGCAGCAGATCACTGATGCACGATACCAGGAGGTGGGTAGTAACAACGGTTTGCACATTGATGCATTTTTATATACATTTACATATTCCTTAACTGCCCTGTGCACTTTTTCATTGTTGTAATTATTTTCCTCATCATTGAGAAAATTCCTTCTCAGGCTTTCCCACTCAATGCTTACATGCTACACAGAACTGCAGCCCAAGACCATTCACCTTCTTTAGAAGTAATTTCTGAGGCCTTACAGAGTCATGGCTGTAGTTTCTCTTGTCCTCCACCTGCAGCTTTCCCCATCTAAGTAATTGGATATTTTACTGCTTTGTGGTATGAACTAATTAAGGGGGATTTTTGCTTTGCGGGGAGCTTTGCTTTGCCATTCTCACTTCACCCTCAACAGTCATTTTCTGTTCATTCTTCCATAAGGTAATTATAGGCATGTTCTCCTGATTATATCAAAAATCAGCCTTTCTAATGTAGTGCAGATGAAATAAATGTGATGTAATATCAGACCAGGCATCTTTTCTACACTCTGCACAATGATTTTTAAGTTGTCCAGTTAAATGGTGGCACATACATATTTGTAAGTAGCACCCCAAATCATCAGTGCTTTCTAATACATACCAATTTTTTTTTCGTAGGATGCATTCTGAAATGCTACAAACCTTGATCACTCTGTTCTGAACTTCCTTGGGCTACCATTATTATCAGAATGGATCAAAGGGATGAAAGTTTTGGGTTTTTTTTCTTTAGAGTTTTTTTGTTTTCTTTTGTTTTTCCTTTCCTGTTTGGAATGCATTTAAATCTAATTTGCTGAAATAACATAAGACAGTTTTGACCACAGTAGCAAAAGCAGCCTGAGCCACATACTGAATATCTCTGCCAATTGCCAGGACACTCCTTAATTAAAACTTAAAAAATAAACACAAATATGCTGTATTTCAGATCAGATCAAGCTACACTTACTTCAATACTGAGACACAATGCATATTCTGTGATATTCTTCTACAAATTCTGATGATTTCAAAACACATGCTTTGGAAAGGAAAAATGCAGCACATTTTTCATCTGTTGAAATTAGTACTAGTTACCTCAATATACTGGGCACCACATCTGTCCAACCTAGAGGTAAGGATAAATACAAATACCCCAACTTATATCACTACTGACAGAGTGATGAAAGCAAGTTGTATTTTGATGGGTCCGTAAGGCAAGGAGTGGAAGAGAGCTCAGCATTCTCAATCCAGCACCTAAGCACATAGCAGCCTTCTTTTCAAAACAGTCATACAGTGTGGCCCAGCCATTATTAGTACTTCTTAAATAACAGACCTAAGATGGCAGTAACTAAATGCTAAGACCTTCAAGTAATGTGAAGAGACAAGGTCAAAAATCTAAACAAAATTCACCCATTCTGTCCTTCTAATGCTCTGCTTATATGCAAACACTAAATTTCATAGATGATGACCAGCACTACTTATATTCTGATGCATGCACTGCAAGAGTGTCAATTTATAATTTATCAGCATTATCCTTTCAGCCATTTCACAAGAATAGCTTGTATGTTTTTCTGCAACAATGTATTTGCTCTGTTAAAAGCTTTCTAGAAAAAGAACTGTAAAGTTGTTTGATCAGTCCTACCTGATCTGCTTGCCTTCTCGAACATCATATAAAGAAAAAAAGACATCCGTGTCTTCTCCAATTGTGTTGTAGGTAAAGCTCTTTAGACTGAGGAAGAAGTGATGAGGCACTGGCATACGGCAAGCTTCCCCATGACGCTGACGAATTGTATCCACCTGATTAAAGACCATTTAAAATAATTTTTTAGTTCTTCATAAATGAAGGACATATAACTGACTTTATCATTATAACCAAGATTCTGCTCTCCCTTCTCCATCAAATAAAAGCTTAATCTCAAATTTATGCTATGTTAGAGATATATGACAGATTACGTTTTATTTCTCTAATTTTTCTGTTTTTTAGTTAGAACAGTTTGAGAAACCATGATAACCAAGTAAATATAAGATACATGATCTGTAAGTCTGAAGTTTACTTTCATTAACTAACCTGGATCAATCCTATTTCTCAAACATTGTCTCAATTCTGTTACTGAAAAGGAACTATATAAGATGGTGCTAGGGGTCGTCTTGACATCTATTTTAAGTAGATGGATGTCAGAGCATTTTTAAGCATAACATATTAAGTCACTTCTTTTTAGCAGCTACTGTTTATTTATAGTGATCATTTACGTATAACAAAAAGAAATCTCAGCATCAGGCTGGTAACATGAGTTAAAGTCAAGTGCCAGAAAAGTTTACGTTTTGACTAAGTAAATCAAGGCCTATTCACAACAGCGAAACATGAAAGATGAAAAAAGTGCCTAACTAAAAAAAAAAAAAATTCTATAGAGCTTTATACTCTTTGTACACTGATCTGAATGAACATGTTGCATCAAAGCTCACTAGGCTAGTGTGGTCTGAATATGTTAGATAGATACTAACAAAGACTTTGAGCATGTATTTGAGGTAGTTTATAAAATAGAGCATAAAGTGAATTTTGTTCAGGATTTTTAATTAAATCCTGATATAACCTCATTCTCGGAGGACAGAAACCTGGGGAAGCACAATTCTCTAGGAAAGATCAGACCCAGATTCCATGGCCACGAAAGGATTACAGTACTACAGAAAGGATAAGTAAAACAAGAGCCTACTAAGGCAACTGCTAGCAGGTAGAGAGAAGACTGCATGTGCAGACTGAAGCTTTGGGTCTGACCAGAAAAGTTATTGAGAACAACAGAGCTGAGGAGAAGAGGGTTAAATGGAAGTTGAAGAAGGACATTAATGAGTTAATTATTCTTGGGGATCTTCCTCTGAGGAAGTGCTCCATATAGGACTTACCCAGTCTTATATACCTTTTATACCTTTACATATAGATACATTATTAAAGACTCAAAGACAATAGACATTCATCTGTAGATGTTCTACAGCAATTTTACCTGTGATGTGCTCTGCTGGACGCTGTGTCTACTTGATAAATGCTGTGAAAATAGAGAACACTAAAATTTAGAACCTTTTTTTAGAGCAAGAAATATTTACATTAATCTGTATAGCATTAAAAAAAGTAATAATAAAAAAAAAAAGATTGTTCAAGATTATCATCAACTTTCCATTCCTTTTTTTCCCCACAATATATCAATCACTAGCTTCCTAACACGCTTTTCCTTAATCCCAGTTAGGCCCTTCTTAGCCTAATTACTATAACTTACAGGTGACATTTATCTTAGTTTTTAACATAAAGGGCTGTGGCCAACCGGACAGAATTTTCAGCACTGTAATAGCATTTCTTTTCGAGAGGTCCTTCTCCTTATGTTGTATAACCTATGTCTCCTCTTGCTAAACGAGTAGATACCTTACCACTAATTGTCATCTATCAGTTTGCTATCTATGAAAAGCACGGTGCATTTGTTCAAACACGTAGAAATCTAGAAAGAAGAGGAGTTTTTATACTTCGTTTCAATTTTTTGCTCAGATCTGGCCTATCAGAAGGCGAACTCCTGACAAACTACTCAAAACACTTCTATAATTTCAGCTGGTTAACACCTGTACAGAAATGTCAGTATTAAGACCTCCATCTCTGAAATGCAGCTCAGAGGATGATCCTGTATTTAAAGCCTTTCATGCTATAAGGAAATGGTGTAATCAGAAAATGGACTGCAAGTCTCTCACTGAACCAATTTAATCTCCAAAGGCAGATTTAAATACTAATCTAAATTGAAAAGGTTTCAGAGCTTTAAAAAAACATATCATTAATGATTCTGCCATGCCTGTCCGACACATTCATTTTAATATAGGCATTTTAAACAGAAACATATATAAGCATATGATAATGTTAATATTATCTTTATTCTTCCCTATCTCCATCTTTCCATTACACGCCTAGTGTCTTATTCTGACAAAACATATGTTCTGACTAGCAGAACCAGCATGATCTGTTGACAGCCTTGTAGCTTCAAAATAGGTGAAAGTAGAAGAAATCCCACAAACATATTCAACAATACTGTTTCCAAGATATGCCGCTGTCTTCTATTCAGAAGGGAAAACAGAGGAAAGACTTGTAACCCGAAAAGGAAAGATGATCTTCATAATGAGATTAAATTAGGAAGATACTAAATTAAATGGCATATTTTGACATCCCTTTACATTCACTGTTATAAAAATGTCTTCTTCCACGCTGCCAGAAGAAGAAATTATGGATCTCCAGCTGCACTGTGTGTCTTACTACAGCACCCTCCTCTGAATGTTAAAGCCCTTTTAGTTTAGCTGGCTGAGTTGCCTATTTAACCTTTCTTGTCACCCACATTCAGTGAATATCAAATGGCATTGAAGAGACCAGCTATTAAATAGCTGTCTGGGAAGTTATACCTGGATGGGTAGATTAACTATATTGGTAAAAAACTGGCTGGATTGTCAGGCTCATAAAGTAGCAATTGATGGCTTGACTCTACTTGGAAGCAAGAGAAGTTCTTCAGGGGTCTATCCTGGGAGTCGTCCTTTCCAGTATGTTCACAGATGATATTAAATTGAGGGCAGCAGTCAATGCATCAGAGGGTAAGGTCTCCTTTCAAAGGGACCTAGACAGTCTAGAGGAACTAGTAACAGGAACCTTATGAAATTCAACAAAGACAAAAGTAAAGTCCTGCACTTGGAATAGACTAACCCCTGCAATGATACTCGCTGGGGACTGACTGGCAGTGTCATGCTGGACAGCAAACTAAACTTAAGTCAAAAGTGCATTCGGGCAGCAAGGAAGGTTAACAGCATATTGGTTTGCGTTAACAAAAACATAAGCAGTAAATTGAGAAAAGTGTTTATTCCCTTCTACTCAGCACTCAGTAAACTACATCAGAAATGCTGCACCCTGTTTTGGGCTCCCCAGTACAAACACACATCAACAACAGCAAGTTCAGCAAAGGACCACCAAGATGGCTGGGAGCTGGAACACATGCCATATGAGGAGATGGTGAGGGAATGAAGCTTTAGTCCAGAGAAGAGAGGGTTTAGAGGGGACCAAATGGCAGCCTTCCAGTATCTATGAGGAGGTTATCAGGCAGACAGAGCCAGGCTCTCTGAAGAGCTGCACAGCAGGAGGATGAGTCTATGGTCACGAACTACAACATGGGATAGCCCAACCTGACACGAGGAAAAAAAAGAAAAATTCCCTGTCAAGGGCAGTCAAGCATTGGGGCTGGGACTTGGTCTTTCTCCCTGGAGAGTTTTAAGGCCTAACTGGACAAAACTCAGAGCAGCCTGGTCTGATTTCATCACTGACTTTTCTTTGAGCAAGAGGTTGAACTAGATCTCTCCTGAGGTCCCTTCCAACCTTAAATGCCTAATGGAAAGTAGGGCTGCTAAGGGATCTCTCCCCTCCTCCTCCTTCTTCTAAAAGAAAGAATCAGTTTTATCTCTGTTATTCCTGAAAGATACTTGCTTGTGGAAGTTGTGAAAATTTTAGTAGATAAGGAACTATTTCGGTGTATCTTTCTTCATCATTATACACTGTTTTCTGATGTCTAAACGAAGTCTTTGTTACTGCATCCTAGGTCCACTGCTTCTTATCCATCATTAACATGAATGGACTAATTAATTCCACTTGTGATCCCGATATAATACTAAAATCTTCTTCTATAAAACCATCCAAGCTTGCAGTGCCCCAATCCATACTTCAGAAGCCATAAGTGACTGCAGAAGTTAAGAATCTTGCATTTCTCATTCTCCAATTGTGTCATACACTTTTCAAATCATTTCTCCAATTTGTCTAGATGATTTTGAATCCTGTTCCTTTCCTCTTATGTACTTTCAATCACTTCCAACTTTGTGGTATTTATACATTTAATATGCATACTGCATATTTCATCATCCACTCACTAATGAAAAAAGCACAATGAAATGGAGGATGATCATCAGAATTTTATCTGATTCATCCCTCTTCCTATTTTGAAGTTGGTAAAATAGTGAAGAATGGTTATCAATAATCTTGAATATGCTTTGAGTAAGGTTCTTTAATTAGCTGTGTATCTACTTTACAGTATTTTCATCTAGAACTAATGATCATCAGGAGAACTTGAACTGAAAGACCATTAAAATCTTTATGACAATCTAGATGGGACATCAGCTGCCCTTCCAGGAAACTGGAATGTTTTAAAATTGAAATTTGAACAAGTTTATGCTCACCATTATTTATCTCCTTGCTCCAAACAGTTATGTTTCCCCCTTTTCCCCCCCGCTTACTCTGGGTAATCTTAATTTCCCATTCCTTCACTTTAGTGTCTGAAGTCAATGAAGACCTAGTTTATCTAACATGGTGTTTTACCACATTCACCGTCTTTATCCCCATTGAGTACCTTGTGGTTCTGTCTTACATTTTTTGAAAGAACTATTAACTCTCTTTACCTCTTTTTGCCTTTTGCATTTGTCAAAAATGCTTCCCATTATTTCTTACCTACCTATACTTGTGTTTATTATTGTGTTTCCTCCTTCCTTTCCTACCAATGCTTGATAATAGAATGCTATCATTTTGAAATCAGCTGCAAACAAACTACTTTCTAACTTCATATTCTCAACCAATTTCTTACTAGGGTTTAGAACCACATCTATATCAAACTCTCCTATGACAACCTGCTATTTAAAAAAAAAAAAAAAAGTAAAGGCAGAGTTGTCTCTTTATTAGAAACTCTGGTAAACTAATAGTTTTTTTCAGTTAGTTGAAAGAAACAGCTTAGACCTAGCAGTAACGTAGTGTGTACCCATGTCTTTCAGGATGAATTTAGCAGATGTGTGAAAAACGCAGGCATAAATCAAGCAGTAAATCTGCAGAAAAGCAAAACACCTTTAATAGCTAGGTTTGAGCGCTTCTGATATTTGCCAATGCCTCCAGAGATGTGTCTTTTATCCCCTTCTGCTAAAAATCCCAGTGTTTCTGATATTCTGCTGGAATTGTGTTGCTAAATGACGGCTTAAACCTAGTGGCGGCTCCAACACTAAGCTCTTTGGCAGATTTCGGGAAACATATTTTTCCACAATTTCAAGGGTAATGTAAAGTAAAGTGAATCTGTGTTCTACTGAATTTGTTAAAACCACAAACATCTTCATAGATGCTCGTCCGAAAGCCACTAGGATTTAGCTTCATGATGAGTTACCTGGAGAAACAGAATGTACAAGGCTCTAAGGTATGACATTTCTGACAAAAAGAGATGAAGATAATGAAACATCACACAGTAGCTGGAAATAATACTTAGTAAGATAAAAACTAAAGATTATTTTGAACAAAATTTTGAACTTGAAAATTTTACCAATAAAAGCAACGGTAAGCCTAATAACTCCACACAAAAATGCTTGAATTTCTTCTCACTTATAGATAGGAATGCCCAGTATGTTACCTTATGCATTTTCCTGCTAATATGAGATTGTTTCTTATGGTACATTTAACATTCTACAGTTCTCTAAATCCGAAAAAGTAATTGGGCTCTTATGACTACACTGAATAGATCTTACACTGTAAAACCTCATTGCACAATTGAGAATCCATTAAACATGGAGTAAGGAGGATTCTCCTCCTGCTTAAAGAAAAAAACCCTTCAATTTCTACAAAATGCAAGTTAAATAAATAATAGGTTTTCCACTGTTTTGATTCCTGAAATTGTTTTCTGACTGTGAACTCGATGTGATCAGACAGCACTGTCTTCCTGAATCTGCAAACTAAAGCAACAGTGAATTATGAACTGACTAATGGTCATGTCCTCATACCAGCACAGATCTCAGCAGCAAACTGTGCTGTGGACTTTTTCTTCAAGGCTAATATAGAGGAGGGTAATCAGAATATTGTGACAACTAAAAATTGCTGTATTCAGATAAGAAAACCCTTCAGAATGAAGCACAGAGGAATAAAGTAATCTTGTTAGCAACTTATCTTTGCTTCTCTGAATCTTTAATGAATTAAGTACTGAGGTTATTTCTTTGCTGTTTTTCAAGGAAAATACAGGTGTAATAGCACCAAACACTCCTCTGTCTATGGCAAATCAGGAATAATGCCGAAAATTAGTACTATAGGATGACAGACTTCACTATCTCCCATGTAATATATTTTTATTTCTTTCCACAAAATTTCATGTGTGATGAAAATAATCCAAAACAGTAACAGCATGTAGCCTGTTTAAATAAGTGCCTTTGCTTTGGGGAGAAGTACATCTTGCACATAAAAAAAATACCTAGGCACAGACTTGTCATTACCTAATCTTATATAACTAAAAGCCAAATAACATTTTAAAGCAGGAAATTAAATCTTTACAGAAGTAATCAGATCATAACAACATTTACTTAGTAAAATCAGTTTTCTCTGGGAGAATATTAAGTTAATAAATTGTTTTAAAGTAACAGTTTGCTGCTGTTGTTGTTTTTAGGAAAGTCATCTTGGAAAAGGCCTTCATTTACTCTCCTCTGAACATTACATGCTGTTCCTCACTTCACTGTTACATCAGGACCCTGAACAAAGTTAACTGCATTACATAGTCCTACTAATAAAGGAGAATCCAAATAAACATAGTGAATTGTATTAGTAGCTCTACAGTTCATTAATTACACAATTCACATATCTGAAACAAACTCAACTTTGCTATGTACTGATATGAATGCACTAGTGACTAAAAACGATAAAAGCTGGAACTCATTGCAATGAAGGAATGCTTAAAATACAATTACGTAAGCAACAGATTGTACTCTTTTCCAGTGAAATGCAAACATTCCTACTAAAAGGTACAGCATTTTAATATTGCTGTGTGATATTGCCACACAACAGAGAGGGCCCTAGTGTTCAAGGATAAGTTTTACTTAAATTAACTTATTCTATGGCCTTCCCCACTCCTCCTCTCTTTTGTGAGCGCAAAAAAAAAAACACCCCACCATCTTTGAACAGGGCAAAGATTCTTATTTTCTATGCAAACTCCTGGAAGTATTTACACTGAAGTATTTCTCATCTGTATCTGCAGACTCTCCTCTCCTGAAAGAGCAGACTAGTAGTTCTCTTGTACTTTCTGGACTCACAAAAGTTGTTGATGGGCTCCAGGCTCTGGAAGCTTTATTTAATGGAAGAAGTATGCCGATCAAAGCTAGATTTCACAACAGGAAGAATTCCTATTTCTCCCAGCAAATTAACAACAACTGTTTGAAAATTGTGTCTAATGAATGCCCACATAACCCAAAAGCAAGTCAACCTTTTGGACCTCTCTGTTATATTTCAATACAACTTTCTAAGACATGTCTGCTGCATGGGCCATTCAAATGAAAGGGATTTTGCAAGTAGATTAAACCATGATGCATCACAGATTTTTCATTATTGCCCATCTGAGAGACTTCAACAATGCACTTGCAAAAGGCAGGTATTAAACGACAAACTGCAGATTACCTTATATAACATCTGCAGAATACATGCAGCAACCAAGGGTCTAGAAAACCTGACCTATGAAGAAAAACTGAAAGAAATGGGGTCATTTAGCCTAAGGAAGAGAAGACTGAGTGGGACCGAACAACAGTACTCAAAAACATAATGCCTGTTGCAAAGAGGCAGGGAGTAATCTGCTTCTCTGGACGAGATAATTAAATGAAAGTTTAAGTTGCAACAAGAAAACTGTGTCTAAGACGACTATTAAAAAAACTTCCTAACTGGAAGAACAGTAGACCATGCAAAATGATTGCCTGGGTAGGCTGTGAAGCCTCCACCAGTAGACATTTTTAGAAATAGAAGTTGTCAGAATTAACAGTGACTGTTGATCCGGACATTAAGCAGAAGAAAGGACTGGGTGACCTCTTGCAATTTTTTTAGTTCTTTGAATAAGTAGAAAAAAAGATTATTGCTACTTCATTTAATGCTAGTCCGTTCATTTTAGCAACAAAGACCAAAAAGTGTAAAATTATTTCTATTAGCTGTATCTGATGGATTTGCCTTTTTATAACTCCTCCTGCTGCTTCTGAAACAATAGATTCAAAAACAAGAGAAAATTGCAAGAGGAAACCACATTCAAAGGCACTTGCACCAGTTTTTCAACCAAGTTTTTACAGACTTTCCAAAAGATTTTTTATATACTGCATCTATACTTTATCAGAGCTACTGAACATTTTTCTTTTCATGTCTTTCCATTCATTCTATCAAAATACATATAGCATGTCATTTCCAAAAGAAAGGTGGTTCATTCTTACTAAAAGGAATGCAGGGTACTGGAGATACTGACTATTCTGATGATTACGGTGGAAAAGAGAAAAGCATTTAGCTTACAACACTATTCTAATTAAGAAAACGTGCAAGACGAAAGAATAAACACTTTTTTCCCTTCTTTCCCCCAGCCCCCAATGAAAACTCAAAAGAATCTTCCACACATTTCTTACCATTTTATAAAGATCTGAAACACTGATCTGATCTGAGTCCACAACCTCAAAGTCCTTGCGAGGAACTAAATCTAGGCCCAAATGTCTGCAAAAGAGAAGCAAGGGACAATGATAAATGTAACATATCACAGCATTCACTGTTATCTACTACATGTGCTTACTCAAGGGCAAGTACTCAGGAAATAGTTTTATTTAATGATTAACAACTGCAGAAAGATCAAACACAGATAACCCTTTAAATAAAACTAAATATAAATATCAAACAAAAAACCACTATGAGCTTGTTCACCCACTTCAGTGGAGCTACAGCAATTAATGTTAGCTAATGAAATATCAAGAAATACAAGGAAATAGCATAGGTAAATAAAGTTACTACTGTAGTTTCTGCTACAATATTTGAGTAAGTTCTTTCTCTATACAATTTAAAAAAAAATTCCATCAATAGCCCTGTTCAAATGTGCAGACACAGTGCATTGGGAAGCCCCTTTGAAATTCCTGGTGCTCATGCAACTAAACCCCTGATTTTATCACTGTATAAACATAGTATTTTTCTTAACAAGAACAATTTGTATTTTTAATACACAAAATAACTTCTAATCAGAAAGATTTTAGCTCAAATTAAATACATTAATAATTCAAAAAAGTCTCTATCAGTGCAAAAAGGAGGGTCAGCTAAGAGACCATGTAGTAAAGAAGGTTCACAAAGTTCAGGTCACAGCTGCGTATGAATAGTAAAGGCTATTTGGTAGCCAGGCAAATTAATGAGCAATTATTAAATAAGTAATGGCCAACTAAGCTTTAAAGGTGGCAAAAAACAACTTTTGCTCTGTAGTTCCTTAGATTTTGTGGCATAAAAAGGTCAGACAATTATAGTAAAAAACCAACTATAGTCACACACATCAGGAGTAAAATTAAAGAAAAGTGAATTAATCATTTCCCAGCTCCTGACTTCTTTCATCTTATAACTTTGATACTTCATTTGCAAATATTTTACATTGAATTTCTCTATAATCTAAAAGATTTTTCTGTCACTAACTAGACAGCAAAAGTGTATTTAAGTATGTAATCAGAGAGGGACACAGTCTGCAAATAAAATTTTGCATTTGCCATCTTTTTGAAAAAACCACTCAGGTACCACAGAATAATCGTATGGCACCAAAACCAGAAATCACCAAGTAATCCAATGTCTTTTTCTGAGTAGGTCACTTTAATGAGCACCATGGAAGAGCCTGTGCTTTGCATGACACCCTGCTTCGCTTGCTACGCAGTGTACTTTTTTATTACTTCCCTTAAGTTTCCCAACTCCCTTAATTTTTTGGAAACTCGTTTGCTACTTAATTAGGCTTTCCCCCTTTAATTAGGTCCCTGAACTATCATCTCTCAAAAACACAGTTCAGCCCTTGTTCACTTACTGGCAAACAACTGTTAGGCAGTACCATAATTGCCGTTAAAATACTGTACTGACGAGCTGGAATTTTCACATTCTTGGTTCTCTGGCAAAAACAATTATATTTTCAATGGGAAAAGGACAACTTTCCCTCCTCCATATAATTTTCATGTCAAATATCAGTTTGTACACTCTAGGACTAAGCTGTGAAAATGATGGTTATACACTTTTTCTATTACTATTTTTAATTGGTGATACGTAATTTCCTTCATTCTCAAAACCAGCAAACCTCATTTTGATGAAACCTGTCATACAAAGGCTATCCCTAGACCAAGACCAGCATCTGAAAACTGCAGCTACAAAGATGAAATTTACTGTGTCTAATTGCCAAAGGAATAAGATTAAAATGAGAACACACTAACTAATCCTCAGCTGTAGCTGCCACTCAGGCCTACATATAATAGAAAGTCCAGAGCTATAACACAAAACATGGTAACAGGTAAAAATAGGAACTTGCAGTCTACTTAAAAGTTAACAAAAAAAAATATATATACACACACACACACACGTACGTATACAAATGTAAGAAAAAGATTAGTGATCGTCATATTCATATCCCTTTACAGAAAACTTCCTGAACCTAAAAAAAACCTCAGCCATTTTCAAAATAACCTCTCCCTTGCATGTGTACACACACACACGCACACTTGAAGAGCATTCAGAAAGAAATATCTCCTCAACATACCAATAACAACAGCAGATGACTTCCTAACAATGTTCCCAAAAGCAAAGAACACAGTGTTGCAATTACCATGCAGTTACAGACTACCATTATAGTTTTACAGAAAAAACTGCCAAAGCTAATCATGGCTTGAGGTTGTTCTATTCTCACAATTTCAACTCTCTCAAGACGTATTGGACTTATTACTCAATGCATGACAAAGATATTACCTTCTACTTAATAACGTTCAACATAACTGCAGTAGCATCCCTTTGAAACTTACCACATACCCTATTTTTAGTCAAATCCCTTAACACCATGGATTTCCAGCCCAGAATATTCTCATTCTCTAATATTATGTTAATGCTACACAAAATTTGCTCCCAGCAAATAAAGGCATCTTTTTCCTCAAGTACTAGCATCCTCTCATTTACTGCACAGGCTGAAGTTCATTTTTACATAAACATTTAATTTGTATCGATTTTTTTTGTATGCAAAGGTCTGACAATATAATGCTTGAAATGACAATGAGAGGTAGTAGCCCACTTTCACCATTTATTATAAAATATTGGCAGCTCAGGGCTGCCAAGCAGTTTTTCTGCAAAATATAGTGTATGTGAAAATTAGGCAACATTGCATTTTGTTTATTTGACAGTTCCTCTCTCCACAGTGCTTCCTTTTACAAGCAAACTCTTGTGGGTTTTTTTTCTGCCTTAATATCTGCCTTTCAGAGACATTTCCCAAGTATACCTAGGAAAAAAAAATCCCAATGCTATCATCAACTGCATCTCTTGACAGAGGCAGTCTGGGACAAGTCTCGTTAAGCTGACATTCAGATAGCCCTTTTTCCTTATTCCCCCCCCC